GAGGTCGAGGCAAAGAAGACAGAGCTGTTATCTTCGAGAGTCTGCTAACACCTCTTCTGGTATCTGGTATCACCCACCCACCTCCATACTCAAGTGAAATATTAATTTGAAATCCAACATTTAAAGTAGCTCAACTCTGAAGACACTGCGATGATACAATTATTACATGCTGAATAAAGTGCTGAACAGTGCTATTTTCTCACTTACAAAGATTTTTATTTCACTAGCAATTCTTCCTCCATGCTAATCAGAGGTAAGCCTTAAATAGAGGAACTAAGCATGATTCAGCACATTTAAAAAGGATTTGTACCCATTCTTAGAAGGACAACCAGAGGAAACACCATCTGAGGTCTAAACAATGGTATCTGCTTGCCCTTTGATCTGAGTTTAAGAACACTTCGTCCAACTTTTTTGTTGAAATACCCCTGAATTTCACATTTATAATTTGAAATCTCTTTAGCAGAACATCTTTGGCTTCTTTGAACCACACTCTTGCAACCGAATTCTCCACACTACTTTTGCTGTGAGTAGCTTGCAGGCATGGATTTATTTTCTGCTAACAAAAATCTTCATAAGTACAGGCAGCTTAAATGAAAAATAGTACTACTGATCCTATGTTTATGAGAAAAAGACAGTACAGTGTATCTGGTTACAAATACAAGTAGGGAGTATTCCATTTTTCTTCTAATTTATGTTCCCCAAGAGTAATTTTGTTCAGAAGATTGCCAGTATTTTTAGTACAATAAGTTTCTTGTTTCTGGTTACTTGTACTAAGACACACTGATTCCCTTTTCTGAGCATAATTTGATTTTTTTATTTTATTTTATCCTAGCATCTGGAGATCAACACCTCATTAATTCAAAATAAATAAATGAAACCTGAAATGCAGAGATTTAAAGAAACTTTTGCACTCCTCTCAAATATAATGCATTTTACAATTCATATACATATGGGTAACTGATACAAGAGAGGTATATTATCAAAGCATTATGATATACATCAAATAACATGAACCTCAATGTCCCAAACGTCTTCACTTATTTCAAACATTTGACTTAATAAAAATCAGATATACCATCTCTAAATGATCAGGCCTTCCAGATTAGTGAAATATGAATTTTAAATGAAGGGTATGTCTATATTTTCATTAATTCAATCTTTATTCTTAAGCACCTTCTTTGTGCTCAGCATTATGTTAGGGACTTAAGTTACAACAGTACATAAGCCTGGTTGCCTTTTGGGGCTGAGGGGTGACAAACAAATGAGTAAGCAAATTTAAAAACAACAAAAAAAATATTCCTTGTGATAAGTGCAACCAAGGAAATAAACAGAGTGCTATGATGCTAGAGAAGTGGGTGGGGGTGGGGGCAGTCCCAATTTCTATAGAGTGCTTAGAGAAGGCTTCTCTAAGAAGGTAAATTTTAAGCTAAGACCTGAAGGATATTTCAGGCTACTTCTCCAAGGTCACCAAATTGGCAAGCTTGCTTTTTAGGCTGCCAAGACATTTTTAGCATTAGAAAACAAGTAGAAAATGGCATCTGTGGCCCTGACTGAATGCAGGTTCATGAGCGCGCCCAGCTTGCCCGGGCACTATGCACACCAGCCAGTGAGCACCAAGGAGGTTACACATCCCCAGCCTATTCACCCGGAGAGTTTAAACAGTCAACATAAACAGCAGTGAGCTGCTCGAATGACCAGTATTTGGGATATGCAAGAGAAATTTATCCTGTTGATTCATACTTCCTGATAGCCGCTCTGGCTGACAAGGCTCAGGGTGTTTTAAATGTATCTCATGAGTAAAATATTCCCCAGTCCCAGGGAAGAAGGATGTTTACAACTATGTAACACTTTCCCTTATACTTTCACTTTATAACTTATCTAACTCAGTAGGTGTAAGAGTACTTTAAAACACAGTGCTATAACATGTATCTTTCTGTAGGTTCTTTAATAGATGACTCATGTAATGCAGCAGCTAACATGCCATCCACATGGATTAGGAAATCTGTGGAATTCTCCCAACATTCTTATTTAGAGAATTCACATTGCTAAGCAATTACTTTCTTCAAATGAACTGTCCTTCTTATGCTCAGAGCTATGATAATCAGATTTTATCACATTTTAGCCTCTCATTACGAAATTCCCCTTTTCTACTGCTAAATGGATTAAGTAGAATTGCTTGACTGGCAGGTGGCATGGCTTATGGCTTGGATTCTACTTACCTGGAAGAGGTTTTATCCTCTAACCATCCATGTGGAGTCCAGGACTGGACCTACTGAGGGTTCTAGCTTGTAGTCAGAAAGCCCATTGGTATGATACAAGGGGCTTGGGGCCCAGTTCCCTACCTAGGAATCTCTTTCAGTTCATATTAGCCTGTCTCAGGCCTGAAATTACACTATTGTTGAGTTCTCTTGGAATCTTTCAGGAGTATTTTTTGGATCTTCAAAAATTCTTTATGAAAAATGAAACTATCCCTGGGGAGATACTATGTTAAACCATCACCTTAGCAGGATTAGCTGACAACCGGCTTCAAGCAGTATGACTCAAAAGCAGTGTGTACCTGTAAACCAGGATAGGTCAGAAAAGCAAGGAACGAGGAGAATTTGGAGGTCATTAAACACAGTAAATGTCAGCGTACTTTACAAACTTGCCTCGAGCCAACTCGCACAATTTCAAATACCATGTAAGCCAGTGGTTCCCTGAAATCACCTGGGGATCTTTAAAAATACGGATACCTGGCTTCCACCCCACACATTGATTTAATGGATATGGGGTACCACCTGGGCGTGTGGATTTTTAAAAGCCCCCAGATGATTCTAATGTGCAGCAACATTTGGGAGCCACTGACATAAGAAAGCACTGCTCTTAATCTCTTACTGGGATGATTTATTGATTTGCTTCAGACATCAGGATCTCTTGCGCCAGTGCTTCTTGACCATGGTAGCACATTAGAAAAACCTAAGGCACTAAAAAAAAAAAAAAAATGCCAGAGCCCACCCTCAAAGATTCTGACTCAACTGCTATTGCTCTGGGGAGCAAAACCAGCATCCCTTAGCTCTTCAGGTGCCCACAGGTGATGCTAATGGGCAGCCAAGATTGAGAACTCAGGTCCACACCCAGGAACTGTTTTCCAGAGACTATAACATGACTCTCCATGAAGAAGCCATAAGGGCTACTCTTCCTGCACTTTGTCCAGATTGGGACTACCCCAAGCGGCAATAAAACATTTCCCCAAGGCTCTCAGGAAACTTGGGGGAGGGGGCAGGTGAAGGAGAGGGCAAGAGGTGAAACTTACTAAGCCAGAAGAAGCATTGATGCTCGAGTAAGGACTAGCGCTGGCCCTGTGCACCACCCCACCAAACTTTATTGACTGGCATGAGAATTTCCTTAGAATGCTTCCTGGAGATGGCTCCACCTTGGATTTGGTTCCAATAAATTGTGAAAATTCTTGTCCAGTCAGAACCTCTGGCACTGCAAGTTGCAAGATTGGCAGGCCTTGAGCCTTCACTCCCTGTGAGATTCTGTTTCATGAATTTCCCAGGGGGATTTCTGAACCACTTGGATGCCAATCCTGCTCCACATCCTCCCGGACCTCCCCCCCTTGCCCGCACTCCCCCTCTCTTCCCCCAAAGCTGAGTGGAGCTGGGAATCATCGCATAGATATACTTGTAAAGAACTCGCCGAAACATGGGAATCATTTACATTTACATGGGAATCATTCAAGTAAATAATGTCCTTAAGTGACGGACAGACGTCTTTGACGTTGCTTGGGGACGTGTGTGCGACTTTGGCAAGTGTCTGCCAACACACTTTGGAGCCCGGGCAGAGCCACGCGTCTCACACGGGAAAGGAAGTCCACGGAGACCCACCCCACAGTGCTGCGAACCCCACTAGGGGCGTGGCTCCTGCACCCCCATTCCTCCCCCCAGCGAACGCGTCCCCTACATCGCTTTGTCTACGCTAAACTGAGTCAGCTTATGAATGAAGAGTAACACAAATCGGAAGCATTGATTCTGAAAAAACGTCTTCCTTACACCGTTCTCATTTCCAGATGAGAAAACTCGGGGGGGAAAAGGCTCTGTGACTCTGTCTGGGTTTGCCACAGAACATTTGTGGCGGAGCCCGATTTAGCCGCCCTTGAATTTCCATTCTGTTGCCTGGCAACCGGTTCAGACCAGCTCAGCGCCCAACCCCGGCCCCTAACCCGCACCCTTCCTCTGCCCGTAAAGTTGGGCAGTGCTGATCAAAAGTTGAGCCTTTGGGGGCACTGGCCAAAGGCATGTCAGCGAAGGGACTGGATAGGTTACCCCAACAGGGCTCGGGATCCGGCCCCAAACCCGCGCGAGTCCCCCCTGGCCCGGACTGGCGCACCTTGCTCTACAACCTTCCTCCCCCAATTCCACGGATACAACTTAACACAATCACGTCACGTTTCCAAAGTTCTCAGCTGCTGTCGGATTCCCTAAAAGTCCGGGTGGGAAAACGCCCTCAGAGCGTTAAGGGTGCAAAAGAAACCAGTCAGGAGGGGAAAGAGTGTGGAAGAGCCGCCTCCTTCCCAGCTGGCCACACACTCGGGCCGGACTTTTCTGCCACAGTCAAGCTAACGTGGCGCGAGCCGGGCACTGTTGGGAAAAGCACGGAACTGCTCCGGGCGCCCGCAAAGACGCGCCCCCCAGGCGCCGCACCCCGGAGCCCCGCGCCCGGGTCCGCCCACCGCCTCCTGCGGCCGCAGC